CACAGACACACACACAGACACACACAGACACACACAGACACACACACACAGACACACACACAGACACACACACAGACACACACAGACACACACACACAGACACACACACACAGACACACACAGACACACACACACAGACACACACACACAGACACACAGACACACACAGACACACACACATAGACACACACACACAGACACACACACACAGACACACAGACACACACAGACACACACACAGACACACACACAGATACACACACACACAGACACACACACACAGACACACACATACACACAGACACACACACAGATACACACACACACACACACACAGAGGGAGCAGGAAATACTCTCTCACCATCATCCCACTCACCGGATTTTTTATCTTTTTTTTTTTTTTGAGAGGGAGGGTCTTGCTCTGTGGCCCAGGCTGGAGTGCAGTGATGCAATCACAGCTCACTGCAGCCTCCACCTCCTGGGCTCAAGCGATCCTCCCGCCTCAGCCTCCAGAGTAGCTCAGACCACAGACACACGCCACCATGCCTGGCAAACGTTCTCATGTTTTGTAGACCTGGGGTCTCACCATATTGCCCAGGCTGATCTTGAACTTCTGGGCTCAGTAGATCCTCCTGCCTCGGCCTCCCAAATTTCTGGGATGACAGGCACGAGCCACTGCACCTGGCAGGTTTCCTTATGTGCGTTGAGAACTGGCTGTAAGGAAACCCTCTTTCTAAAATGTTTCTTCTTTATCCTAGAATTCTATAAGGCTGTGGCTGTTTTTTTCTTTTTTCTTTTTCAGAGGTAGGGGAAACGGATCTGTTTCAGAATCCCGTGAGAACGGCGAACTCTTTATTCGCGAAATTACTTGTAGATACTGGGTGCGTTTCCTGGGCTCTAATAGGTCACCACAAACGGGAGGTTTAAAACAACAGAAACTTATTCTCTCCCAGTGACATGGACATGTCTGAGAGCCCCATTCCCTCCGGAGGCTCTAGGGGCGGATCCTTCCTGCCTCTCCCGGCTCCTGGGGGCTCCAGGCATCCCTGGGCTTGTGGCCGCATCACTCCAGTCTCTGCCTCTGTCTCCATGTGGCCTCCTCCTCTGTGTCTGTGTCTCCTCTTCTGTCTCTTACAAGGACACCTGTCATTGCATTTAGAGCTCACCCTGCTCCAGGATGATCTCATCTCAAGATCTTTAACTAATTACATCTGCAAAGACCCTATTTCCAAATAAAGTCCCATTCACAGATTATGGAGAACAGGACACAAACATGTATTTTAGGGATCAACATTCAATGCATGACAGTTGTATCCAGTCCCTTCTGAAAGCTCTAGGGGAGGGTCCTTCCTGCCTCTCCCGGCTCCTGGGGCCTCCAGGCATCCCTGGGCTTGTGGCCGCATCACTCCAGTCTCTGCCTCCGTCTCCACGTGGCCTCCTCCTCTGTGTCTGTGTCTCCTCTTCTGTCTCTGAGAAGGACACCTATGGTTGCATTTAGAATGCTTCCTTCTCCGGAATGACCTCATCTTAACTAACTAAATGCACCTATAAGGATCCCCTCCCCCCTACTTTGTTCTGAGATGGAGCCTCGCTCTGTCGCCAGGCTGGAATGCAGTGGCACGATCTCGGCTCAATGCAACCTCCACCTCCCAAGTTCAAGCAATTCTTCTGCCTCAGCCTCCCGAGTAGCTGGGACTACAGGCGCCTGGCACCACAGCCAGCTAATTTTTGTATTTTTTTTAGTAGAGACTGGGTTTCACCCTATTGGCCAGGCTGGTCTCGAACTGCTGACCTTGTGATCCACCCACCTTGGCCTCCCAAACTGCTGAGATTACAGGTGTGAGCCACTGTGTCCAGCCAGATGAATTTTTTTTTTTTTTTGATAGAGTTTTGCTCCTGTGCCCCAGGCTGGGTGCAATAGCATGATCTCGGCTCACGCAACCTCTGCCTCCGGGGTTAAAGCGATTCTCCTGCCTCAGCCTCCCGAGGAGCTGGAATTACAGGCAGGCACCACCACGCTCAGCTAGTTTTGTATTTTTAGCAGAGACAGGGTTTCTCCATGTGAGTCAATCTGGTCTCGAACTCCTGACCTCAGGTGATCCGCCCGCCTCGGCCTCCCAAAGGATCCTATTTTTAAATACAGTCCCATTCTGAGTTTCTGGGGAGTTGGGATTTTAACATGTATTTTTTGTGGGGGACATAATTTAGCCTGTAAGAGACACACAGGACATTTTCCACAGAATTTTAGACAGGTCCTTCGCAAACCTAACAGGTTCTCGGAGCTCTGGTGGAAGCTTCTCCTATAAAAGTAATGAAGACGGGCGAACCCCAAGCCCCATAAGGTATTAAGGGAAGAGAGGGGTACACACTAGAGAAAGGGGATGAAGTAAGCCTGTCACAGTCATCTCAGAGAGGAGGGATGTCACTCTGTCTGTAACATGAAGCTTCTGTTATTTCTTCTTCTCAGTGAAGCCCAGTTCCCCGAAGCAGGTGAGCTTTTCGTGGCATCAGGACGCGGTAACGGTGACGTGTTCTGACCTGTCCTACAGGGGTCTCCTCTATGAGGTTCAGTACCGGAGCCCCTTCGACACGGAGTGGCAGGTGAGCCGGGCGGCCGTGACTCAGGGCGATGGTGGCTGGGCGTCCCCCAGGTGTGGGCTGTGGGATTCGCTGTTCAATCAGACTCCCGGGTCCCCTCTGTCTACACCTGCCTGAATTCCACTGTGCTGTTTCTTCCTGAGACAGCTCTAGTCCAGCTCGCATTTCTCTCTGTGTCTCTGAGGGGTCTCCAGAGAAAGAGAACCAATAATATGTCTGTCTGTCTATCTATCTATCTATCTATCTATCTATCTATCTATCTATCTATCTATCCATCTCTATATCATTCTTTCTGTCTTTCAACCTATTATCTATCTATCTATCTAATTCTACTTTATCTGTCTCTATCTCTTTCAATCAATCAATCTATCTATCTCATTCTATTTTACCTCTATCTCTGTCTTTCAATCTATCATCTATATTGTTCTATTTTTTCTCTCTCTCTGTCTCTCAAACTATTATCTATCTATCTATCTATCTATCTATCTATCTATCTATCTATGATCTATCTATATCTATCTGTCTATCTCTATCTATATCATTCTCTCTGTCTTTCAATTTATCTGTCTATCCATATCATTCTATTATATCTCTCTGTATCTTTTTCAATCTATCATCTATGTATGTATCTAGGTATGTATGTATCTATCTATCTACCTATCTCATTCTATTTTATCTGACTCTATCTCTATCTATCTATCTATCTATCTATCTATCTAATCATTCTATTTTACCTCTATCTCTATATTTCAATCTATTATCTATCTATCTATCTATCTATCTATCTATCATTCTATTTTACCTCTATCTCTATATTTCAATCTATTATCTAATCTATCTATCTATCTATCTATCTATCTATCTATCTATCTATCTATCTCATTCTATTTTTTCTGTCTTTCTCTTTCAATCTATCATCTATCTATCTATATAATTTTATTTTGTCTCTCTCTGTCTTTCAATCTATCATCTATTTTATCAATTAACTCTCTTTGTTCTATCTCTCTATTGCTCTATCCATATCTATTTTATGTACCAACTCTCTTTTATCTATCTATGTACCATCAATCATCTATGTATATCATCCCTATCTCTATCTAGCTCATCTATCATCTCTATCTACCTACCTATTATCTCTCTCTATTCTACCATCTACTATCCTATCTATGTATTTATCTATCTACGTATGTATCTATATATCTATCTATCAACTATCTGTCTCTATCTATTTATGTATCATCTATCTGTCTACTTCTCTCTGTCTTCTGTCTATGTATTATCTATCTATCTATCTATCTATCTATCTATCTATCTATCTATCTATCATCTATTTATCTCTCTATCATCTATCTATCATCTATCTATGTATCATCTATCAAGTCTATCGTCTCTCTGTTTTATCTTTTTATCTATCATTTATCTACCTCTAGTCCTACCTCTATCTCTACATATCTGTCTCTCTACACACACACACAGACATACACAGACACACAAACACAGGCACACAGACACACAAACACAGGCACACAGACACACACACAGACACACACAGAAACACAGACATGCACACACACAGACACACAGACACGCACAAAAAGACAGACACAGGCACACACACAGACACACACAGAAACACAGACACGCACACACATAGACACACACAGAAACAGAGACACACACACACACAGACACACAAACACAGGCACACAGACACACACACAGATACACACAGAAACACAGACACGCACACACATAGACACACACAGAAACACAGACACGCACACACACAGACACACACACAGACATGCACACAAAGACAGACACACACAGGCACACAGACACACACAGAAACAGGCACACACAGACACGCACACACAGACACAGACGCAGACACACACACAGACACACAGACACACAGACGCACACAGAGTCATGTGGTGCCTAAGGACCTTTTTGTCGTCAGCAGACGGCATGTATCACGGTAGTCCCCTGTGATTATCACACAGCTGTCCTATGCAGGTGTCCCAATTAGTTTCTTCTATACCCTATTTTTCCTGTAGCTTTTCTATGGTTAGATATGTTTAGATACACAAATACTTGCATTAGGTTTGCCTGCACTATTCGGTACAATAACGTGCTGTACAGGTGCATAGCCCAGGAACAATTTGCTATACAGCCTAGGTGTGCAATGGGCTAGACCAGCGAGGTGTGTCTCAATAAACTCTACAATATTCTCACAATGGAGAAGTCACCTCACAAAGTATCCATCAGAACACATCCCATCGTTAAGCAATGCATGACTGTATATCTACATATATGTGTGTATACACATACACATATATACACACACACATACATACATAGCTTATATACATGCATATATACACACACATATGGGTATACACAGCTTATATAGACACACAACACACATATATATACACACTTTATATACACAGCTTATATACACATATTTATACCCATGTATATACACACCTTACATACACCATATATACACACACCTTACATACACCATATATACACACATATATAAACAGCTTATATACATATATACACACACGTATATACACACTTTATATACACAGCTTATATATACACACATATATACACACATATATACACATATAGATACACAGCTTATATATACACATATATACACACCTTATATACACAGCTTATATACACACACATATATACACACATATATGTACACACCTAATATACACAGCTTATATATACACATATATACACACATATATACACACCTTATATACACAGCTTATATACACATATATACACACATATATACACGCTTTATATATACACACATATATGTACACACCTTATATACACAGCTTATATATATACACGTATACACACTCTGTGACTAGCTAGAGGTTTGTAAAATACACCAATCGGTGCTCCATAAAAATACACCAATCAGCACTCTGTGGCTAGCTAGAGGTTTGTAAAATGCACCAATCACTGCTCTGTAAAAATGCACCAATCGGTGCTCTGCGGCTAGCTAGAGGTTTGTAAAATGCACCAATCACTGCTCTGTAAAAATGCACCAATCGGTGCTCTGCGGCTAGCTAGAGGTTTGTAAAATGCGCCAGTGCTCCATAAAAATGCACCAATCAGCGCTCTGTGGCTAGCTAGAAGTTTGCTAAAATGTGCCAATCAGTGAGCCATAAAAATGCACCGATTAGCACTCTGCAGCTAGCTAGAGGTTTGTAAAATGCACCAATCAGTGCTCCATAAAAAGGGACCAATCAGCACTCTGTGGCTAGCTAGAGGTTTGTAAAATGCACGAATCAGTGCTCCATAAAAATGCACCAATCAGTGCTCTGCAGCTAGTTAGAGGTTTGTAAAATGCGCCAATCAGTGCTCCGCAGCTAGTTAGAGGTTTGTAAAATGCGCCAATCAGTGCTCCGTAAAAACGCACCAATCAGCACTCTGCAGCTAGCTAGAGGTTTGTAAAATGGACCAATCAGCCCTCTGTAAAGTGGACCAATCAGCAGGACATGAGCGGGGACAAATAAGGGAATTAAAAACTGGCCGCCCCAGCCAGCAGCAGCAACCCATCTGGGTCCCCTTCCACACTGTGGAAGATTTGTCCTTTCGGTCTTCACGATAAATTGTCGGTCTTCACGATAAATTGTCGGTCTTCACAATAAATTTTCGCTCTTCACAATAAATCTTGCTGCTGCCCACTGTTCGGGTCCGTGCCACCTTTAAGAGCTGTAACCCTCACCAAGAAGGTCTACGGCTCCATTCTTTTTTTTTTTTTGAGATGGAGTTTCACTCTTGTTGCCCAGGCTGGAGTGCAGTGGCACGAGCTCGGCTCACTGCAACCTCTGCCTCCCGGGTTCAAGCCATTCTGGTGCCTCAGCCTCCCAAGTAGTTGCGATTACAGGCATCCACCACCATGCCCGGCTAATTTTTGTATTTTTAGTAGAGACGGGGTTTCTCCATGTTGGCCAGGCTGGTCTCAAACTGGCGACCTTAGCTGATCTGCCCACCTCGGCCTCCCGAAATGCTGGGATGACAGGCGTGAGCCACCGTGCCCGGCCTTGCAGCTTCATTCTTGAAGTCAGCGAGAGCATGAACCCACCGGAAGGAAAACTCCAGACTCACAGGTTACATCACTAATCATTGTGTGTGTGTGTGTGTGTGTGTGTGTGTGTGTGTGTTTCTCCAGTCCAAACAGGCAAATAGCTGCAATGTCACCATAGACGACTTGGATGCCGAGAAGTGCTATGCTTTCCGGGCCCGGGTGAAGGCC